TGGAGTCTGAAAATGAACGATTGCAGATATTGCTAGAACGGAAAGGTCAAGCGGTAGAGAGCAGACTGCAGCTAGCGAGAAAGAATAACAAATTCGAGACTGATCGGCGTGGGTGGGCTCAATGTCACCGGGACATCAGCGAGCTCTAGACAAGTATACCTTCCTGGAGAACAAGCTCAATGGAAGAGAGTAGCTCGGCGAATGGCAATATGGGAGAAAAGAATGAACGATAGTGAAGTGGGATAAAAGAAGTACACTACTCAGGTTTCACTGTGTACTGCGAAGAATTGAAAGGAAGCAAGGGTCCAAAGAAATGGTTAGAAGACGGAGTATATGACAGATCCATGCTCCCACCTCATCGAGTAAACATCCAAGTGTCCACTTCGCCCTACGTGTGGCGCAGCTCTCTCACGAACGGGGGCCCGCACCAGCCACACTTTTCCTTTACTTCCGAAGATCCTTGTCGGCGTCATTATCCAACGTCCTGTCTTCAATCCACAGATACCCTCAATCTACCTCACTTCCTACACTGAATTCTTTTCATACACCGACACAAACAAAATACAACCACCAAAAATGGCCATCTGGGGATCCTCAAGCTCCAACGCCGCTTCCTCCAGCGAAGCGGACATCAAAACCCACCTCATGAACCAAGTGCGGCAAGAGGCCGCCGTGACCAACGCCCGGAATCTGATCGGGGTATGTATATCCCTAACCTACCATTTAGCACATTGGATCAGACCAAGCTGACCAAGGATGGGGTTTCTCCCCGCTTGTAGAAAGTCAACGAACACTGCTTCGAAGCCTGCGTCCCCAACCCCGGTACATCGCTCTCCTCCGCCGAACACACCTGTCTCTCGCAGTGCATGGAGAAGTACATCTCCTTCTGGAACGCCGTCAGCCGTGGCTACATTTCGCGTCTCGCGAACGAGAGGAAGGCTTACGGTGGTGGTGCCCTCGACGCATCGTTTGTTCAATCTGGAGAATCCAGCCTGTGAGCGCTGGCGCATCGGAGCTTAATATTTGTTGAGGAGGGAATGGAAGGCTGATTGTGTCTGTGACTGCAACATTACGAGATTTCTTGGTGCTTTCTTCACCCTCGCTTCGAGTGGTTTTGTGGTACTTCAAAAAGGCGTTTCTTTTTTCTTCCCGTGACCTTCAACCGGTAAGATTTTGTACAATACTATATATACAGGGTGACGGGTGGATACTACCGTGCAGAGTACTCGTTCAAAATAAAAAACGAGGCGGCAGAACCTCCGAGACGGATTGCCAGCCACGCGGATAGAAAACGTCTGGTCTGTATTTGATGATATTCAGATGTGACGCCTACCTTTTTCCACTTGTTCAAGACATCGAAGATATGTACATTATACAGGACTGAAGGCGAAATTGACGCGGATAGAAAAACAATGGATGAGGCCAAGAGCGACCTTTATCCCGTACTCATAACCAACACTCACCCATTCAGGTGTGCCAGCGCGAAGAGAAGACGAAAAAAAAAAAAAAAAAAAAAAAAATTGACATGGATGGCTTGCAGGCTCCCCAAGTCTTGAGCAAGATATACATAAGGCGACACAAGATAACCAATGACGAGCCCGACCATCCAGGATCCAGTAGCCGACCAAAGGTTCTCCAGACGAACACCACCGACATGTTCAAAGGCTAAACTTAGAACCCAATAGAAGAACATGATATTGGACGCCCTCAAGAGAATCTCTCAGATGCGTCAATGCCGAAAGAAGGTAAGGATCAGTCCATGTGGAAGCCACGAAACTTTTGCAGGAGTAGAATTCAATAAAGCTCCACACGCACGCTCCTAGCACATTTGTGAGCCTAGAGCATCATGGTCGGGTCACGGGACATATTAAAGTCGTAGACAAGCACGATCTTTCAAGACAATAGTGAACAGAGGCAGTTTTTATTGGGAGCCTAAGTAGAGGCTGGTGCATTTGTATCGTGGGCATCTCCGTCAATGATTGCCAATGTTCATTGCTCTATCAAATGTCGTATATTGGACTAAAAGTCGGGGAAAAGATGGCCATGCCTGTAGCAAGAGTTCCAGTTAGTACTTAGATCTAAAATGATTCACAACCGGGAGACATACACATCTTCGCCCTGCTGGCCGTATTGTTCGGTTTCCTCAGGATACCGATCGTATTGACTGGCATCACCCTGGCCTCCGCGGATAGGGGGAACATAAGGAGCATCAATGTCCTTTCTTGCAAGACGATCCCAGGTGACTTCTGCGAACCAAGGATGGTTCTTCACATCTTCGGAACCTCCATGAAGGTTGCCCAGTCGCTTGGTCAAGTCTGCTGTGATGAGCTGCGAGAGCAAGTCGACGGCGTCCGGGTGAAGGTACGGCGGGTACTTAACACGACCCCGGAGAATGTTTTCATAAATCTTGACGGGTGAGCCACTGTCCCAGAAGGGTGTGAAGCCGCACAACATTTCGAAGATAAGAATTCCAAGTGACCACCTTGGCTCTAGTCAGCCAATGGAAACGCAAAGCTCATAGAATGGAATGCCTACCAATCGACCGATTTGTTATATCCCTTGGAGGAAACAACTTCTGGAGCAAGATAATCCGGTGTTCCGCAAAGTGTCCAGGTGATGTCAGGCACCTCCTTCGCGAACCCAAAATCGGTGATCTTCAGGTGACCGTGCCGGTCCAGTAGCAGATTCTCTGGCTTCAGGTCTCGGTAAATAATCTGCTGAGAGTGTAAATACTCCAGTGCAAGAGTAACCTCGGCCGCATAGAATTTTGCGACAGGGTTTGGGAACCGCTGCGACGGGCCCATGACATCAGCCTACAGGAACTTGCATTGATATGGAGGGCTGCGAAGAGCACTCACCTGAGATTTGCGAAGTAAACTGAAGAGCTCTCCTCCCTCCACGAAATCCATCACCATGTACAGATTCCTTGCGTCTTGCCAGGTACCCCACAATGTAATCAGGAATGGATGCCTGACACGATTGAGCATTCGTCGCTCGTCATTTGTATGCTCGACCTGTTTCATCTTGACCACCTGCGCCTTCTTCAGGACCTTGATCGCATAGAAGCGATGATTGTGTTTCGACTGCACCAAATGGACACGACCGAAACTACCTGTACCTAGTGTACGTTGGATAGTGAAATCGTCTAGGGAATATTTCCCTTTTGTAGTGCGGGCCTCAGCCCGATTGGCCTGCTGAGAGTTCGCATGACCTTCGGCAGAAGTCTGTGAATTCCCATGATGATGAGAGGGGTGAAGTATATTGTGTAACCTGGAGGTATGGGAGTGTTGTTGTTGTGGCTGTTGTTGCTGGTGTTGTAGGTGGTGGAGGCCCGAGTTGTGGTGGGTGGAGGGATGGGGTTGCGTCACGGCGGATTGCATGGAGGCAGTTTGACCCTCGGAATTTTGATCTATACCTGAAGAGCGATTGGGATTGTCGTTGGATAAGCGATGAGGCTGGGCAGCAGAAGAAGTTGCGGAATTATTGCTGGTGTTACTGGTGGCCGGATGTTGATGATGGTGGGTTTGATCGTTGTGCTGGCTGTGGTGGTGGTCGTGGTCGGCAGAGTTGGGTGACGTCTGTGTCTGGGCCGCTGTGGGTGACGAACTTGATTCCAGTTCTTTAGAGAGGGTATGCGAATCCTTCGTCCGCCGTTTCTTCAAGAGACCTCCTAAAGTCGGCATCGAGGATATGAGAGTTAAGAGTATAAGAGGTCACAGATAAGGTGAAACATAGACCATAGGATTGGTGAGTGGCAGGGTAGGTTAGGGGGTGCGGGAGTTTTGTGTGAGCGAAATCAACCCCTCTTCTCTTCTGGCTGGGGGGAAGCTTTCAAAGAGGGGGGGAGACACAAGACACACGAGGGGAGGGAGCGAGAGATGGCTCTGGCGCGGATACTGCGGACGCCTCCCGGGGCCTAGAGACAACCAGAATGGACTCAATGGACCCCCCGATCGTGCGTAACAGAACACTCCAACGTTCAAGGCAAAAGTGGGCTGAAGATTAAGTGATTGACTGCTTCTTTCTTTCTGCTTCGTGGCTTTCTGTTCTATATCGAGTCAATTGATCGGAAGCTCGATCTCTCCTCGTAGACTATATCTAGACTATCGACGTGCGCGGTACCGAGTAAATGGAGGCAAAGCCAAGAGAGTGGGGAGGACTAGTTCATAGTCAAGGTGAATGATGACGATGATGTCCTTACTTGCTGATGATAAGGATGTGATGATAATATAGCGTTGTTGTAAGGTTTCAAGTAAAGTGGGAGTATAATCGGCTCTCTCCTGTATAAGTAGTCATCTCACTCCATTTGTTCGACCCTATCTACGTCTTCAAATTATTCTCCAAATAGCCAGTCGATGAAGAAACTACACTGTATACACCTCGCTCTAAATTTGTATCGTCTAAGCGCCATTGAGTCCTAGACCATGTTAGAGAGAGAAGATTTCATGAAGTTCTACGAAAGAGAGTGGAGAGTAACCTCTCAGAACCTATGAGATCATCACTCAGTATTAGATCCTTCGACATCCGGAACCATGTACCATTGAGATCATGACTGGGCCCCCACAACTTCAGGTCCTGTTTTCCACTGTTACTCCCCCATCGATATGACATTTTGATATACTGGGAATTTCAACATTTTATACCTACCAGGATAACAATTGTCAAATGTCTCAATTCCATTCGGCTGTACCTCTCTAGATAGACCATACAAAAGCCTCTAGCTTGGTGACTTCATAGCCCCCAGCGGATCCCCAGAAGGCCCCGCTTCCAGGCCTGTTGTGCCCAACCGGCACTATTCCCTAAATTAATTGGCTGCCTAGTGTGCAGCAGTATCTTTCGTAGTGATGTATAATCATTTCTTCGTGGATTCTCATCTCATGCCAGGCGGGTAACTTGTACATCAACGAACCAAACCTCCTTAAGACAATAGCATCAAAACAGCATGTCCCTGCCGAATGCAAGACTTGTCCCCAAACGCCATACCAACCTCTTTCTCATAACTAAATACGATAATGAGCCATGTTCTTCTTGATCTCATCCACTATCTCGACCGCCTCCAGGGCATTTCGCGCCTCAAAATCGTACCGTTTCTGCTCATTGGCATCGTTGCCCCGTAGAACAACGACCCGGAAGTTCTTCGGGTGTCGCCGGCTCACTTTGCATCCCACCACATCGTTGAAGCTGATCGATCGGGTCTTGGTATCGGATGCTGCCTTTCCCGTATCCCCCGGCATAATGTGCATGTAGTCATTGTCAAAGGTCAAGATGCGATGGTTCGAAGTTGTGAAGGACATTGACTGCTTTCGAAACACATGATAGCGCCGGTAGTAACCGCCCGTAAGTTCCTGTGTTTGGGTGAGTGGGTGTAGCATGCTTGGTCCACTCTTCTTGCTCTTCTTGCTTGCAGCGTTCTGTTTGTTATCGATGAGCAACGGCGCATTGGGGGATGAACTTCCTGGGGAACCAGTTAATGATAGAGGCCCCGCCCCGAATCGACGCCGTACAAGGTCGAGGTCGGTAATATTACCCAGAGCCTCCACTGTCCGGTCAAGCGGCGCTATCGTGTTGGACCCCGCCACTTTGAGAATGTAATTGCCCTTGTCGAGTGCCCATCTTTTGCAGACCGAGTCCAAAATCTCGGCTATATAGCTGTCGGTAGAGGTGTTCAGAGTTGTAACGTGAGTGGCAGCATCAAGGTTCATGAACCGGATCTTCAGTGTTTTGGAGACGCCCATTCGAGGTGTAGCGTGGGACGTAGGGACCGCGGGCCGGTCAGCTGGAGTCAAGGTATTGTCGTTCAGAGCAGATGAGAACGGCTGTCCCAGAATGGGATTCACGCGAGCTGCCGGGGTCTTACTCTGCGGAGTAGGCTGGATGAGTGGCACTGTCGGCGCTGTAGGCGTTGTCACGTTTTCCTCTGAGGGTGCTTCCTGACTGTATTGCGGGAACAGCCGCTCATTTTCTTCGAATTCCTCCTCGGAAGCCTCCACCAAAGCGAATTCATCATATTGCTTACCCCTTGATCGGCCCCTCACTCCCGTCGCCCTATTGTTATTGTTCGAAGTGAAGTCTGCTATGTGTGATGCTCGGCTCAGAGGCGGGAAATCATATTCAATCTCTCCATCCTCCACCATTCGTAGTGTCCATCTATTCACATTGAGTTTGTTACGCTCAATGGCTGGCTCGCGACCTTCTTCCGAGTATCTCCAAAGAGCTAGCCCAATAGCCTCCGCAACAGTGACTGGTGCCGGCTGATCTGCAAGCTTGGATTCCCTGGCCAACTGAAGGTCAAGAGGTTCTTCGGGGTCAGAGGAGAATGGGAGATAAAGCTTGATGTTAAGGGCATCCGCTAACCCTTTGCCGGAAAGAACAGCGAACTTCTCGACAGGATTTGTGGGCGCCTTCATGCGTGCTTTAAGCGCTTGCGTCAGTAAACTGGTAGGTTGCAGTCTGCTGATGGGGCGTGGTGGTGGCAGATTTTGCAACTCGGGTGCTGGAGTTCTGGGTTTCCTTGGAGATGCAGTCTGGGATCCAGCTCCGTTCTGTAGCTTATGCATCAATGCGACAGGCGAGGATGAGTCCAAACCACCAGTGATCCCGACGTCTTCCAACAGCGAGCCGGACCCGGCTGTTGCATCGAACTCGGATGAGAGCACAGATCCTACAGACTCAGCGCCAGAGTCCTCCGCGGCCTCGCTGAGCCCTCCAAGCGTCATAGTGTCAACATTCCTGTTACTAGTGCTGCGAGGTGGATCCTGGTATTCTATGATTTTGTCCTTGGTCGAGAACTGGATTTGTCGCCTCTTAAACGAAGGGTCCATTTCGTTGGTCTCGTTATCTGTAGACAGGTCACTACTGGTAGTAGTGTCTCGTCTTGGTCGTCCCTCATTCACATTCACTGCCGTCCCCAATGATCCAGTGCGAAAATGCGCTCCTGTTGCTGGGTGTGAGGGAGATGTGACCATGACTTCCGGCCCCTCATGACGATCAGACGAACGGATGGGCGAAGACCCGGCTCGTGTGCGGATTGGCACCTTAGAGAATTGAATCTGAGAAGCCCTACTACAGCATCAGTGTGAGTAATTTCAGTAGGAAAACACAAGATCGGCACAACATCAAATGACATGCTACCGGACACTAACCTCCGAGTGCTGTCTCCATCATCGTCGCTCTCATCGCTCAAGTCACTGCTATCATCCTCTTCGGCTTCTCTTTGTTTCTGCTGTTCGCTCTGTTGGCGATCCCGGCGGCGCGTCCGTTTCCCACTCCGGCCCTGGTGCCGACGACCGATCACATCCACATTGCTTTTACCAGTGACCATGCCCCCTTCTTCGTCTTCTCCGTAATCCCCCAACCTGGATCTGCGCAAGGTATTGGCATCTCTTGAAGCACCGAAGCGATAGTACTCTGAGGAGACGGCGGCCGTGGTCGGGATAGGAGGGGAAGAGGCTCTCCTTGCTTGCGCTGCTGCGGCTTGGCTGCTAGGGTTGGTTGCTCCTGAGAACCATCCGGCGGCACGAAAGCCGGGCGTGTTGAGGACCGAGTTATTCACATTGATAAGCCGTTCGCCGACTCCATCCTTGATCGTTGATAGATATGAGGTGCGCAACTGCCAAATGGCAAAGCTGACGATCAGTCAGTGCCCGAGTCGTGACCATACTGCACGAAGCAGATTGGGGGCGCGGTGGAAATGGCAACTTACTCATCATTATGTAGGAGAGACATCTTCTCAACGTGGCTTACTCAGTGTCCACGATTATGGTCGTGTCCTTAGTGGAATCGGCCGACAAATATTGAACCCAGCGAGGACACAGAGTAATATTACAGACCATAGGGAGACGGAGGGGTGTAATGAAGGGAAGATATGCGCTGAGCACATGGGGCAGATAATTAAGATGAAAGCCAGTTCACCACAAGCAGGTCCAGCCTGTTTATTGAAAACAAAAAGAATAGAAGGAATGCACCCTTGGGGTAGTTGGTTCAAAGGGTTGATGGCGGGGGTGCGAGAATGAACTGATCTTCCTGATGGGGGAGTAGACTAGTAGTTAATGGCAGGAGACCGCATTCTGTGGCGGTGCTCCCCAAAACATTACCTACTACGTATGCACTACTCCGCAGATCGGCCAAGACCCTGACCTAGGTCCTTCACACAGTATGGACTCTACCTACGGCCATACGGAGTAGTTACAGACCAGTTTCTTCTGGTGTATCTCAATCACTGTGTAGAATAGTATAAATAGAGCATTCATTGTATCACGGTCAGGCTTCAAATATGGTACATTAATCTGTGATGATATGGAAACCGCTTCGCATGTCATATACAGTCCTTTTAACTCAATATCTTGCCAGGGGCTCATAAACAGAGGTAGACAACAAATCCCGGGCGCCATCATAAAGCGAAACAAATATATCTCAGGCCTTTGTCTTGGTCTTTCGGCCTTTTCCTTTCTTAGGTTTCTCGTCATCGTCGATGAAATCGTCGTCGGGGTTCGCTTTTCTACCCTTTTTGCCTTTGCCTGACGCGCCTTTTTGCGCCGCTGATTTCTTGGGCACACGGACATACTTGTCCTTCTTCAGATCAAGTTCTTCGGTTTCATCGTTATCCTGTGCGTCATCTTCGAGGACCTCCGCCTCATCCGATTCATCAATGGCATCTTCAATGTCAGGCTTTTCCTTTGCCATCTTCTTCGGAGCCGCAACACTGCTGGCTTTAATGAAAGGCAGTGGATGCGATCGCTGGTTGTACAAACGTGTAAAGGTGGCTTTTGTTTGTGTTTCCAGCTTGACATTGGACTCGTCCATAGGACCCAGGCCAAGCTCGACGAGAGCATCCCAGTCATCGCGCGTGAGGAAATAACTGTCCATGAAGTCAATGACATCTTCAACGCTGTCTTTGCCTTCATCCATCAATCTGCGAACCAATTTGTTCCAGAGGAGCGGGATGTACTGCTGTCTGATCTCATCGCGGTCACCAGAAGCACGGAGACGCATGTGGCCTTGAATTTCCTTGACATAACGCCAGAGTTTTCCTGCACATGCCATGTTAATATCGGAAACGCAAATACTGCATCACGGAGACATACCTTGTTTACTATTCTGGCCCAGCCAGCTGGTGAAACCGGGCCGCTCCACCATATTGCCGTAAATGAAGCTTGCGGGGCGAACAAAACTGAAAACAGCATGAGTCGGCATAAGGCTCCATTGCTGCTGCGTTCCATGAATCATCCTATCGACAAGATCGCCATCACTGATACTAGAGGCAGCATTGTCCGTCAATTCAAGGAGTTTCAGCTTCTGTTCCTTGCCCTGGTAATTGCCAGCTAGCGTTGGTCTGGTTCTCAGGTAGTTTTCTTGAAGCATCAGATAACTGAACTCGTGGTCATTGAAGTACAGCTCGATTTTGTCACCCAGGGTGGTTTTAGAGCTGGGAGAGAAGGTCTGGGCATTTAAGATCTTACTGACAATGTCCCACGGCTTCAGGATGACATGCTTCTGCCATGCTTTGGACATCTCTTTTCCTTTGTCAAAATCAAGATGCTGTTGGTCCAATTTGACAGTGGAAAGCATGTTGATGACTTGCCGAATATCGGCGTTGGTCCCTTCAATGAGACTATCCAATACCGGAGGTGGAATCTTTAAGCCTTCCCTGAAGCAGATAGTCGAGAGTCTGGCTCTGATTTGCTCGGCTGTCGGGCGCCTGAAAGGTAGCTCATAAGTGACGTGATCGAAGGGCTTCATTTTCGGCAACCTTCGCTCGTTGCAGATCAAAATCAAGGGTATGTGGGTTTTCTTCGCCAGGGAAACCAAAGCGCCCACACCACCTCGATCTCCAGCAGACATTCCGTCAACTTCATCCATTATGAGAACCAGGTTCTTTTTTGTGCTCTCGATCTTCTTGCCTTCGCCGGAAAAATAACCTTGCAGGGAGGTTGTGTCCAAGATATCAAGGAGACTGCTTTCCACGAGCTTCTTACTCCTTGTATCACTCGCGTTCGTCTCGACGACATCATAGCCTTCAAGGTTAGCTACCAGATGCGCTGCCGTCGTTTTCCCTATCCCAGGAGGTCCATGGATCATCACGGCGCGGTAGACCCCCGACCCATCTTTTCCAGGTCTTGAAAAGTTGAACTTGGCATTCTTGTGCCAATTATGAAGCCAAGTTTGGAGCTTCTCAACAGCACCCTTGTTGCCGCATATCATATTCATGGCCGTCGGGGCATATTTCGTAGTCCATAGCTGGTCGTCAACCTTGGCGCCTTGAGACGCCGAGGGAGCTTGAGACCCTGCAGATGATTTAGGTGTCATTGTTTCCTTAGCCTTGAGCTTTCGCTTCTCTTCTGCTTCCATTTCAGCGGCCATTGCTTTGATCTTGTCCTCTTCGGCCTTCTTCTTCGCCGCATGTTTCTCAGCTGCCTTTGAGTCTCCACCATTCGGAGGGAGTCGCCGGATGAGTTCAAACAGCCCTTCCTCATTGATAGTTCTCAAGTTATGCTCCTGAATCTTTTTGAGTTTGTTGGGTCCAGCATCGCTTCCCAGAACCACATAGCTGGTTTTTGAGCTAGGTGCTGTGGTAACTTTGCCACCGTACTTTTTAACCAAGTTCTGACCTTCATCGCGACCGAGGGTATCGAGAACGCCCGTGAAGACAAATGATAATCCAGCCAGGCAGTTTTCAGCGCCAACGGGCAATTCTGCCGTCCCGCCTGCTACAGGATCTCGCGATCTTTGCGTAGCAGCAAAGTTGAACTTCGCCTTCTCACCTGATGGCGGTGGCGGGGAAGGTGGTTTGATTGTCGGTATGCTGTCGAATATATCCTGGATTTCCTTGCTCTCAGGCTCGTCCTTTTTAGTAGCCGCTCCTCTCTGTTTCTTGGCAGCGGGCGCCGATGGGGCTGCTTTTGCGCGCGCAGGACCTTTCGAGGCTTTAGAATCCTCGTAATCTTCATCCCGATCAACGGCCTCAGACTTCCGTTTCTGGCTTGTGCGCGAGGCTCTTGCGGGTTCTGCTGGTGCGTCCTTCATGGCCACGTCGGCTGACTCGGCTGCACTGGCGTTCTTTCTGCGCGATGACTTGCCGGAAGCCGCACTGGCCGGTTTGACTTCCATTTCCTCAAAGTCATCATCTCCGTCGTGCTCATCCTCTTCAACGTAGTCGTCGTCGTATTTACCAGGTTTTCGATAGTCTGTCGCGAAAATGTCATCGTTTCCTAAGCCATCTTCGACGTCTAGAACGACTGTGCTCTTCTTGGCCGTCCTGCGAGAGCGTTGTCTGGGTGATTGGTCCACGGTCTTTTTGTTCTTCGTTTCAGAAGCATCCTCAGCGTCACGGCCATTGAGAGATGCAGTATCAGAAGGTCGGGCCTCCTTAGTCTTCGTCACGTCTTCGCTTTTGCCAGGTTTTGTTTTCTTTTTTGAGGACGCAAAATAGTCTGAAGTGGTCGTCGGCTGGCCTTGGGACTCAGCTGGTTTACTTCAGAAATCATTAGTGATACACCAGCAGCGAGCAACAGTCTTTCACATACGGCGTGCTCGTTGCCCTTGACTTTGGCGCAGGTGACTTGGGTTTTGATTCCTCTTCTTCATCACTGTCATCGACAACCTTCCTGCTTCCTGTTATATCGCTTAGTAAATATGGCCCGGAGTTATCGTTCCGTGGCCGAACATACGTTTCTTCCTAGCGGTTGAAGCATCCTGCAGTTAAAGAATTTGGTCTCAGCAACACTCCTTATCTCATTATGGCAGGATCCTAGTGTCATTCCTGACTAAAGGTATGAGCTTACCTCTTTCTTTGCTGGAGGTTTCGCAGGAGACGCAATAGAGCCCTGGCTGGACTTGCCACCGAAGAAGTTCCTAATGTCGGTAGGCATGGTGATTATTGTATCGATTCCGAGCTCGACATGCAATGTAAGGAGGCGGGAAGTGCAGTTAAAATAAAAGTAGACCCCAAACAGGCAACCTCGGACTTCTCACTTCTACCTGATAATCATTTCGAGCTCGCCTCGGAAACGCGAATGACGCGCCTGCCACACCGCAGCTGGTTCGCCGACGTGAAGTAATTTGGTTACATAAGCGACAATCTGGTGGCACGTGCGCAGCACACTCTGCCGTTTAGGGATCCAGAAGACATCGGACATGCAGATACGCCGATAGCCAGAAAGTCTGCGGTCCCTTGAACTTGTTCAACTCACACAGAAGGGCCCGGTCGTTCATTGCAATGGGTCCTCAAATTAAGATGCTGGCAGGTCCCCAAATGGCCTTTCTCCGGCCTACCTGTAAGGCTTCCTGGTGTTTCCTACAAAACTTTTCTTCGCCTTCCGCACATTGAACTGATGTCGATTCCATAGGTCTATCATCACCCTTTGCAGCTTTCCAACTATCACGATGCTTCTCAACATCCTCGCCGTCCCTTGATTGGCTCACTCCGAAGTTCATGGAAAGGTCGAAGTCTCCGAAAGGTCGCCCACATGTCCCTACGGGCGGTTCGTCTCGTGGTACAACTGTCGTCTGGGGTGACTACGGATTGCGGATGAAGGATCATGATCGTCGGCTACCTGCTGCATCCCTCAAGCTTGCGGAGGAAACTATCAAGCGACGACTTAGGGGTATGAATTATACCTTGTACAAGCGCGTCAGCGCCAACATTGGTGTATACACCAAGGGCAATGAGCAACGTATGGGTAAGGGTAAGGGAAAGTTCGACTACTGGACTGCAAAAGTTGCTGTCAGCAGAATCGTCTTCGAGCTTAAGGGTGATCTACACGAAAAGATTGCGAGGGAAGCTTTCCGACTGGCAGGCCACAAGTTACCCGGTATGGTTTACCTCATGCTATGGAAGAATTGGGAATCCTAATATTTTATTTGCCAACAGGTCTCTGGGAATTTGTGAAGAAGGGAGACCCGCCTGTTGTCGGTATCACAAAACTCGGCAACGGTGTCACTCTTGAAAGCCTCAAAAGACCACGGAGAAGTCCGGCCCTAGGTACAGACAATATGGCTACACCTCCCAACTCCACATCATCTAGCTCATCCGCTTCTCCTTAAACCCCGCCTCTGTCACGCTATGTCATTCACGCCTTCTTAGCGTCGCTTAAGCGCCGACGCCGGAACCAGGTCCATACCCCTGTTGCCTCCTCGTCTTCGCCGCTGCTTCATTCTCCTTCGAGTCTTGTGTATACTATTGTCAGCCTCGGATTCTGTGTGATATTTGTACGTTCACTGTCCCATGCCTTCATCCACGGAGTTAAATAGAAGGGAAATCCAAGAGTATTATACCTTTATCCGTTTCCCCGGAGATGTTAGATGTGAATTCGCCCTCAAGCCTCTGCGCCTCCTCTTTGTCCTCATCTCTCAGCTTCTGGCCGTCGTTGTCAGAATCGAAATAAGTCCTCATTTCGCTTTTCGTGTGTGGCGAGTTTACTACATCCCGGTCAGACACAAGTTCGAAATGAACTAGGCGCAGATGGGCATGAGAGTTCAGCGTACCACCCAATTGTCCCGTTTGTTTGTGTGGGGTCTCTGTAAATAATCGAATGGATTCATACCTGTTCTGGTATTAGTCTATTCTTTGTCTTGTAGAGAAAAAAGTTACAGGGCTCGCAGCAGTACGTACTGGGTGTTCTCTCCACCGGGTTCAATGTCCAAAAGGTTGGGGTTAGACATGACTGGTAGGTTCCTGAATAAAAAAGGGGGAACTAATTTGCTAAGTGAATAGTAATTGATGCTTCAATTGCTTGCTGATATCTGCGTAGCTTTTCTGGCCCTTCGGCGGGTCAACTCAATTTATATGGTCATGGTAGGTATGACGTACACCATCGCGGAGTCCACCCAGTTCATGCTTGCGACTTGATCACTTTTGCTAGAGATCTTCAAGCGTGCAAGACACACAACATGAGCAAATCCCATCCAACTTTGGTATGTAAAATGTTTACTGCGGTGCACTGACAGAATCACACTGTTTTCTGCGCAAGAGATTTGACCGAGTCATCTCAATTTATGGACTAGGTATTACAGAGTATGCAAACCGGTATCACAAGGGTCCATCCATCAATGCAATCAATAACTCTTACTTTTGGGATACAGCCCACTTTATACATTCATTAGTCATGGCAAAAGATGTGTCTAGAAGTCCATGCCCATCAAGTAACTGCGAAATATCGTCAGCAATTGGTCAAAATGCTCGCTTGGTAGCTGGAGGATCCAACCTTTCGTAGATGCGCATGAACTTGGCAACAAAGGCCTCTAGGTGGAAAATCACTTTCTGTATCCGGTGTGAGCATATTCTCCGTGTTGGTTAGGTAGATGACCCTTACGCTTCCTTGAGTGATTCTGTGCTCGTAGAAAGCGGACCATTTGATTACGTCCGGCTTCAATGCATCATCGACTCTTGCAACCAACTTGAAAGTCAGAGTCTGTGAAGCTGTTAGCAGGATCCATTTCGGACATAGACAAGTTCGACAGTCAAACCTTGATGATTGTTGTAGGTGGTATGCAGTGGGTGAGGAGGTCATATAACCGCGCGCGGACCTGCAGCAAACGGGCCGGTGACCGCTCAGCGAGTATCTCGTCTGCAATTAATGAGATAAGGGCTTCCCAGTCAGGCGGGGGAATTGGCGTGTTGTCCGTAACCTTCTCGCTAATGGAGTAGCATTGTTAGTTATATACCGGCAATCACAAACAGCACAGAGCACCCACGTCTGAGCATATATCGCCTCGAACATGAGAAGCGCTCGCCGAAGATTGCGATCGCTCTCCTTGGCTATTCTCTTGTTGAGTCCAGGGGCCTCCGGCCAGCCTTCTCTTTTACCAGCATTCTGTAATACCGAGCAGATTTGTTCTTCTGTAGGTGCGGCGACCCTGACCAGCAGGGTTCGAGAACGGATCGGAGCAATAATGTTCGACGTGCTATTTGCCAGCAGGATCAGTCTCAGGTTGGGGCTGTATTTCTCCATCGTTCGTCTCAACGCCGCTTGCGCATCGCGAGTCAAATGATCCGCCTCGTTGATGACAACGACTTTGAACCGTTGTTTCGCAGATAAATCAACCTGTTGAGTCTGCGCGACCTCCTTCAGCAGCTCTTGGACGACTACCCGGTCATAGTTGCCAACGTCGGATGGGGTAATCTCGAGATGGTAGACGGATGATACGATGTTGAATTCAAGTTTTCGATTGCTTGTCGTTTGGAAGACTCTGGCGTCAATCTTGATCTTCTCTACTCCCGAGCCGTACAATTCCTTCAACGTCGCAATCACACGGGTCTTCTTGCCTGCACCCGACGGCCCATACATCAGGAGATGAGGAAAATCGCCACTTTGAGCCTGCGGAGATTCAACAAAAAGTCAATGATCTGCTCATCATTCAGCAACAACAGGTGAATCTTACCAATGACTTTAGACGCGCGGAAAGCTCATGATGGTAGGATAAAGAATCAAGCGAACGAGGTCGCAATCTATCCACTAAAAGAGCCATTTTGGTGCCTCTGTCTGCAATTGTATACCAATTCAAGTATAGTGACAAGACAGATCAACGCCCGTTGTACGGAGTAGAGTACCTATATCGCTAAGAGCCGATACGCGTTTATTCGTGACGCGTGAGCTTAATTGGTGGCCCGTGCCCACTGCCCGTAGCTCCGCGAACAGTTTTAGTAGAATCCCACGTGATCCTGGTGAAGTTGCCTGTTTTAGAGGTCAAATGCCATGAACAATTCGTTCTTCAATTTCGAAAATCAAGTGGACATGGTGCTTCGCGTTTTACATTGAGGGAATGCTTTCACACATCTACTTCAAAGACAGGATAGTTGTAATCTGAAAATTGATATGTACAGTACACGCATTTGTATAATACACGGAAGGACGGGCTTCCTGATATTTTTATATCCAAAGTGGCTATTTCCAGAGAGGAGATAGTATTTGTTGTCCATATAGACGTAATGGACCTAGACACGCTGTCTATGTGGAGATACTCGGCCAATTCAAGCTCCACATCAAAAGGTGCGTACGCCTCTGGATTGAGGGAGCTGGCGAAATCTCAACTTTTGAAGCTGCTTCAAAGCATGGTCTGATAACCGTATATCCCGGCTTGAGACCGACGCGAGGCACTGTTTCCCGAGGGTTTATGAAGCCGGTTTCTGGAGCTTTAAGCAGCGGGTATCGGTTTCAGGACTCCATTGTCATCATACTTCGCTTCTATGAAAGTGTTAGCATTCCATCCCACTTCGAGCTTTTAGACTCATTATTTCTTACTGAAGAAAGTATACGACAAAGTGATGGTGTCGATGCCCTTCATGGCCGGATCTTTCACAAAATCCGGGTCAATGAAGAAGAACACCGGCATATCAACAGACTCTCCAGCATTCAATTTCTGCTCTTCAAAGCAGAAGCACTGGATCTTGCTGAAATATGGGGCGACCTGACCAGGAGTAACACTGTACGTTGCAACACCGATAATGTCCGTCGGGCCTTTATTTGTCGCGGTATAAAAAGCAAGTGCTGTCTCACCGGGCAATACACGTACTTCACGCTGCTGCGGTGTAAATTTCCAAGGCAGGACATCCGAAACTGAACCATTGAAGGTGATTCGAAGACGACGAGCGTCGGTCACTGGCGTTACGCGCGATGAGGTGTCGCCGTCTCCGGCACGGTGCGTAAGTACTGGTTGACCGTTCCAGCCGGTCTGTTGACAAATCTGCAAAGGAAGATTGTTCAGGTTCATGCCTGGACCGAGACCGGCAAAAACCGCTATTAAGGCTTCCACGTACCATTTTATATAGAGGAACGGAGCCATAAGCGAGCGCTAGAGTTCCAACAATGAGACTTGCGGTGTAGTACCTAGAAGACGTCAATCCTGTCGCTAGTAAGAAGAAAATCAATATTCATACATTACGGATGCATTCCGTTTCTGCGACTGGGGTGTATTGAAAGGCGCAAACGCGGCATTTTGGTGTAGTTCCTGCCGCAGGAACGAATTGCGAGAAAAAAACTTCTTCCCAAAATCAAAATAGCGCGTGTTCAAGCGTCCTGAACATAGACCGGGCCCTGCCGACCGTAAATGTGCCCATTGCAAGGGCGCACGAGCAAACATGACTGTCAATTGTTGCATGCGGATCTATCGGGGAATGCATCGCCTGAGAAATGGAGCTGACATGAAGATCATGTCACATGATTATGTCCCCTTATCGATAAGAACTATATAACAGTCCACCAGCCACATTGGTACCTCTCGATACATCACAGCTTGCAGACCTCAAATATCGGGCAGAAGAAGGAAGAAGATCTGATCAAGCCTTCAGAGAAGGAAGCAGTATCCTATCTGCCGCCCCGTATAATGGGCCACGCAAGTTCCGAAGTGACCTGGTTAAACTAAGCACTCGTTGGCTCTCGAAGATATATATCAACTGAGCTGACTTTCATCCTTGTTCTAAAATAACCACAAGAGGATATCCTTCCCTACCAGCATGATTCTGTCAGTATGATCTAGATGATGTGATCATATCTGTGACCAACCCAACTATTTGGTGAGATACCAAAGCGGCCCTTGATGCAGGTGTCACCATGCACGATACAGGGCCTGTTTGCTTTGTATGCTAGGCTCCGTCACAAGTGCCAGCACCCTAAGACAAATGGTTAAAGGCTGAATGTGGCCTACATCGGACCACTCTTGAATACCGACTAAGTGGTGTTCATCACTATCAAGGAAGGCCAGATCTATATTGTGCGACTACCGGTGACGAACCATTGCCCCAGCCTTACAAGCCACATGAACCTCATGTCCCTCATGAGGATATCTGTATTGGGCTCTACGCAACTATCGAGTGCTCCACGTTTATTCTGAAACATTATCCGTCGTAGGACAGGAAAAAGGTCTTCGCAAAGCTAGGTTATTGCGAACTACTGGCTGGCACAGGGCCAGACTTTCAGACCAGTTTCATCTTGCGTCTTTCCCAGGGCAGCGCATCAAACGCCGTATGTGGGTCAGTCAATGATCCAACAGAAACCCGCAGGACGCCTACTCTCAAGGGAGCCTCCGCTTCGTCCAAAGGCTTCAGAATCAGAAGATCGCAAAATCCACGATGAGGATTCCAGCGTTCTTCTACCCGCCATGCGTCCCCTTGTATAACCATACAGAAATAGTGTTCAATATTGCTGCTGAACTTGTCCAGATCCGCTTTTTGCGTATCTGCGGACCTGGGAGTGCAGCATGAACAATCGAAAATCTGTGACTGATCTAGGACCAAAGTCAAGCTAAAGGCTTCGTTGCCATGTAAGTTTCGGGTAAGTGTCCTAAGTCCAGTGCAGGAGCCTTCCACGAGGATGCACGACCTGTCCAGGACGTGGCCATACGGGCATTGGGGATCGGCGGGAGTAATGTGGTGAGATACCAGTCTCGGCTGGTATTTATTCAGCCAGGAGGAATTCTTAGCATGCCCCTGCATTAGATCCTGGGGCCACGCCAGAGCATGCGAGCTCACTGTACCGTCTATGCTGGCCCAGCTCCAGCTTGGGGCTCTGTACTCTGTTGCTGGACGTAAGACACCGTAAGGCCGTGACCAACCAAGCCCGAAGGCGATGTCATTGCTCCAAAATTCCCGCGAGATACTCGCCCAGAGTGCCATCATTGATGGCAGATGCGAGGGGAGCCATCATGGCTAGTAGCTTGTCGGATGGCACACTGACTGACCCCTTCGAAAAGGCGTCTACACACCGATGCCAGGCCTCGAGTCGTGCCACTTCCTTGCTGATGTCCACCTCGTCCCCAACGCCACCAGCTTCCTTTACTTGACCCTGGAGGAACCTGTCGATGTACGGCTGCACGGCTCCCTTGACGTAGCGCTGTCGAATTCGCCCGGAGCCTGTTTTTTTGTCGACAATTCCAGAGGCCTCGAACTGGTACCCAGAAGAACACTCCCAGGTCAATTGACGCCTCGTGACATCTAAAACGCGCGGAGCAAGCATTCTTTCGACAATCTCCCACCCTTGTCCCGCCAGCGGAGACTCCTCAATGTCTGATGTCCATCGCAGGAGCCGCTGTCGAAGGTACTTGTCTTTGTTGCGACCTAGCGCAGGAGAGTAAAATACCCGTCTGTCATGGAAAATTCCCGAGCCCGCATTGTCCGCAACTTCCGCTGAAAGCATCAAAGCCGCTTGGCCGTATATTGCCGCAATTCGAGCCGGATCGTTGCCCCATTGCTCTCTGGAAGTGCAAAGGGTTCGGGTCCACAGGTATTGATACCCTAGCTTGCGTGCGATTTCTATCGCATCTGTCAAAGTCTTGGGAAGGGAAGGCACATCTAGTGGAGCCAAGAAGTCGATGTTACCTGCCTCTCGCTGAATCGAAGACTCGATATCCCCGGAACAGTAGCTCAGAATCACATAAGACCCTGATCTACCATTCGACGAACACAGCCTGGGAGCAAATGCAGAATCTGTCGGGATCTCAATGATATTCTCTGGTAGTTTAACAGGCAAGGGCTTGGAACAGATGCTATGAGCAGCACATTCAGCAGTCCAAGCTTGAATCAGACTAAAGCACTTTTCGTCCCTTAGGTCGAGGGGGATGCGACGAACACGATCGACCTCCTCGTCTAGTGGGCCTGTAGAGATCAGCCTTTCAACACCGACGCTCTCGGCATAAACTGTGCACACCCTCATAATCCTCTGGAACGCACTGGTCCAAACGCAAGTCGTCTGCACAATAAGTGCGGTTACCAAGCTTCGTCGGCTTCCTCGCGTCCAAGCGGGAACTGTCAAGAAAGACCACTCGCTCGGCAAGCCCGTCGAGCCTCGCTGTCCATCGACTAGAAGTCTGCAACACGTTGCAGAAGAATTCGCATGCGCCGCAGCCTTTTTCAGCTCGCGTAAGCAGGTCTTTGAACGGCCCTAAATTGATACCAGAATCCGTAAGATCATCTTGCTCAAGGTCAAGAGAGTCACAGATCTCGCAAAGCGGCATATCGAGTTTCAATTTTCAGTCCGAAAGGAGATTATAGTGAGATTCGGGAGGTATCAGATGATGTCTGATGGGTTGATGATGGTTCAGATCGCTGTTTATCTCGTCGCGGATTTTTAGGCTGCAAGGTGGCTGTGCCGCAGCACATCCTGATGATGACAGATGTCAAACTCAATAGCTTCCTTGCAAGCATTCTCGAAGATTGCCATTTGCCATTTGCTGGGACGAAAAAGGCGCCTTTGATGGAAAGTAGTTCAATACCTCACGAAGTCAATGGTAGAGCTAGGGCTATTGTCGAAGCGTATCTCTCAAGCTAAAGGATTGACTGCTTACAGAGTTTGTTATTCGTATCGCGTCTATTACTGATGTACATGAACTCTCTCCTGGAGAATTCGATCGATAATGAAATGATCAGCCACAATAAACACTCTATGGATGCAATGTACAATGCTTTCCCTTCACTTCAACACGCTTGTTGCAATTTTTCCGAAAACACCTCTAACCATGCTGGGCCGTTCACGAAGGCAGGTGAAAAGGATGGCAGCGCTGAGAGCGAAAGTGACGCGCTCTCGGGATTGATACTGGGATCATGTTAGCAACTGATGGTACGCTCTGAGTAGTAGGTGGTCTGCTAGGGGGAAATCAATGGTAAAGACAGGATGGAACTATAAAGGGAAATGTAACCATCCCCGAGTCGAGCGACTTGACATGAACAAAGCTCGTTAACCATACCTTCTTGTCATAATAGCGGGGTAACACAGTTGCGGCGGCTCTTGGTGCCACGAACAGCGCAATCTCCTGTCGTTTCCGCGCACTTTCAACCAATATACTCCATCCGCACATGAGACACCCGGCTCCGACACAGAGGCCAGAGTCCCACATCTGTGGTGTCACCGTTTCCCGGCTAAGGATTTTTGGACCAATTCTCGTTCGGGCCAGGCAAACAGAATAGTAGAAAATGCTCACAAATGAAGCAAGGAAGGTAGATGAACGCAGGGCATCTGCCAGGGCCCGCCAGAGAGACGACATCGTTTTCATTGACCGCAGACGGAAGACAACTTGCAGCGGGATATAGGTTGCACAAGCGAATTTGAATGTTCTAGCAAATCGCCAAGCAGCGTGTTTTTCGCAATTGGGACTGTAACCCATGTGTACCATTTCGCAGGGAATGGGAATGGTCTTGCTTGGGTCTCCCCACTCCCTAGGCCAGTTGTAATCCTCGCACATAGACTCAAGAAGAGGCGCCTGGCCAGTCTCTTTTCCATATACGAATATCCCTCGCCTGGCCCGTCGAAGTGCTTCTATGAGTCGAATGTCCACCTTCGCCACCTCGCCAATCCACTTTCCATAGGATCTAGGAAGCCTTTCTGGGAGGTAAAACCATGCCCACATTACTACAGCAGAGCTGGCAGCGAAAAGCCCTGTGTCAGCAAGCACAGGAGCGACAGTCTCAGCTAAAGACCAGCGATTTTGACTTCTCCGCGAAGCTCGCCAGCGTGACCATCCCAAACAGACAAGAACATCCATTGCTCTAGTGAAAGTGAAAAGAGTGAGGTCCATAGTCCTCCCGGCAAGATCAGGACTGTATTGAGCGGTGATCTTCTTTTCGGGACTATGGCCGGCATTGTCTCTGTTACCAGGTTTTTGGCTCGAGATAACAGCACTGCCCTGGAGCCTGATAGGCTTCTGATTGAGCAGCTGAAAGCTAAACCAGGCAGAAACAAATGCAGCGACGAAGCGGACCAACCGCAAAAAGCCCCGAGACTTTACCAGGCCGGATATTTTACCAATTCTACTGCTGACAAGTGCACAAAGTCGCAAAAGGAGAACAGGTAAGACAGTCGAGCCCGCGACTAAAAGTGCACAGAACGTCGGAAAACTGTCCAGACGGATAGCATTTGTCAGTGTGCGAGACAACTGCACGATGAGTGTCAGTTTATCCTTGGTGTTTTTGGGATAACGACCAGCAAGATTGAAGGATATCAACTACGAGCAGAGCAATCGTCGTAGACTGATGACAGGGAAAGGATGACTTACTTCTTCGAGCTTCTCCTTGTTGCTTAATCTATCATCTTTCAGCCGGCGTAAATATGATACGAGCCTTGGAGTTGTTGACGATATATAACCTATCGCATACGCACGCAGGACGCTACAGAAGGGCGAGGTCAGTGATTCGTTGCTAAATGGCCAAGCACCAATGTAAGATGTTGAAGCGACACTCCATGCCATGCCGTAAATGGCAATTTTCAAAAAAGATTTCGGACTTACGGCTGGAGGATCCGAGCCTTGCTCCTATTCCCACGAGCAAGCATTGGAGTATCCATGATGTCTGAATGTTGTTCAGTTCGTTCTGCATCTCATTTCTCATAATCCGGACCAATCATGATAATGAATTTAGCCTCGATCAGGATCACTGTTTGTTTGACAGGACACCGAGCTTGCCTATCAGAAAATAGGAAATCCAGACGACAAGAGACACAGGCAACTCAAGTTTGAAATGCTGACATGGATATTAGGTTTCTCACAAGTAAACCCTTCGGTATCGAGAAAAGTTCCGTGCAGTGAGGAACAGTATTCTGGGGTAGTAGTAGCAGTAGTAGGCACTAACAGCTACTACTACTCCTATCCGTATGTAGCAATGTTTCGTATGATCTACCGTGGATCCGTGCAACGGCAATTTCGACCTCGGTCCTTAGACTAGAACATAGCGAATTCAAAGACACTGATAGGCTTACCTAGTTGATTACTGCCCCGGAGTTGTCAGCAGTGACCGGTCCAAGGCTGGTTCAGGGGCAGAAACGTAAGAACTAAGACTAGGCAATGCAAAGGCCGACGACGATCATCCGTAAGTACGGAGTAGCAGGAACACAAAAATGAGGTCTCCCAAGCCTTAACCTTGGAACATGAGATTCAAACGATCAAAGAGAGCTAAAGACGACCACCCTCAGACTCTCCCATAATCTGCGAGTGAGACTGGGAGAAGCAGCTCAAAAACCAGTTTCATGACAGACAGCTGGAAGCCATCGCTGCTCTTTCTGCTCTGGGAAATTGTTCCGAGGATATCCATGACGGTAAATTACAGAGCTGCAACGACCTACCCACCAAGCTTCCCCAGAACAAAGCCGTAATTTCAGTAACATGGTTACGTCACGCGACCTCTAGAACGCACGAACTTTTGCATGTGATCGACTCGAAAAGACCGACGGATTCCTTCGTCTCCGCCAAACTATGTACGTGCCTGAGACTGTCTCCAGATCCCCATCGTCATATTTCTGCTTCTTCCTCTTCTTGCACATGAATTTAAATGCGGGGAACGATCTTGTCCAGTTGTTGATCATCTGTATGATACCCGTTGTTATCAGTTTTTAAACGCACTGTGTACCCCGCGATCAAGTCTCGTACCTACCTTTTGATCATATTTCGTACAATATCTGAACAGAAAACACTCGGTTGTTCTTTGGCGCAGTATCTGCATTAGTCACTCTTGCTCCTTCGAGACCTCTGGGATCGACCAAATCGCACGCTACCATATCGGCTGTATCTAGTATTGCGATCCGAGATTACGGCCATCGAGGCATGCGCATCTTGTCTCTCTCTCAGGCCTGCTTGAGATTATCAAGGCAGCAATCATTTTCGAGGCTTTTATCACGACAATCCTCCAATCCGTCGCTCCTTTACACATTACAATGACTATGAAAGATCCCAACTCCCGTTCTGGGCAGAATGACGCCCAACTCGGACCCTTTGGCTGTACGTGATTTCGAGAGGAATCATTCTCTTGCTATATATATCTCTGACTGATTTTGCGTCTTAGATTCGTTTTTATCGCCCATGGACACCCCATACGAACCTGCACCCGCGCCACCTCCGGGTCCTGCACTTCTTGATGACAATGAATCAAACATGCTGGATAATTTCTTCACTACGATGAACTCGAGTCATTTCACAGATGATTTCTGGCTGCGTAACCAGCCCAATAAATTCCTTGATCCGGTTAATTTCGAGTGGTCCACTGAACTGCCGCCTACGTTTGAAGGCTCTACTACTTCGCTCGGACAATCGTCACTTTCCCATCGAGGAATAGAGAAACCTGGCATCGTGCCGAATAACCAGGGCGCGAACTCTGACATACTTGCCGCGGCTTCCATGCTCTATCAGAACGGGATGGCAGGGTCCGACATCAACCCGGGATTCGGACAGCAGCAATTCCCATCCATGCCGGAGCTCAATGTCAATCACTCTATTTCAAACGGTCACGGTAAGACTCAGCAGTCCAGCAACCACATATCTTCCAAACAGCCAAGCGCTTCCCATACGCGTCTGCCTGTTGGCTTCCATACCTCGGAGATGCTATTTGATGTTCGGGAACCGATTTCCCCCGAACAGCAAGCATCAGCAAAGGTACGCCCACTCCACTGGGGCTCTGATGTTAGTTTTATGGACCAAGGTTACATCGCGCCGCCTGATCAGCCGAATGAAGAAGAGCGAACAAAAGAGTTGCTTGGGAATTTGGAGTGCCTTGAACCTCAAAGCAGCGCTGCGAATACTCGAGCACCTAGCCCGGAGCGGACAGCAGGTGGTTACAACTCTCATTGGGGAGAGTCCGGCGGGCCAGTTCCGCTCAACAGTCTACAAAGAGAATACAACCACGCCCTAGATGACTATTCGCAACCCAAAAAAAGACAGAGGACTTCGATCAAGCAAGAAGACGACGAGCAATCCGATGCAGATAGCACGAGACCAAGATCAAGACGGTCAAAGAGCTCGGCTAGTGGCAAACCAAGGCGAACATCAAATGACACAATCCGAAAGCCCAAGCTGCAGCAAGGAGGAAAAGCTGCCCGTGAGAATCTCTCAGAAGAGCAGAAGAGGAACAATCACATTCTGTCCGAACAAAAGCGCAGGAATCTCATTCGGCAAGGCTTTGATGATTTATGTTCACTCGTGCCTGGGCTGAAAGGCGGGGGGTTTAGCAAAAGCGCAATGCTCACGCAGGCTGCTGACTGGCTCGAGGATATTTTACGAGGGAACGAAATTCTCAAGGCACAACTAGCAGAGCTGAAGACGATGAACGGCTTAGTGATGCCCCGATGATCACCGAACAAGTTACGCGTTGACGATATCTTTCATTTCTAACCCTCTGCAAGACGTGGTCTTCTTTTCGACTTCCTTATATTGAAGCGTTTTAGCGATTCGAGAGTGTGCACATTTCCCAGAGGAAAACGCAGGCGTTCCCTTCCAGCAGATCTGGAATCAGATACCGACAACATTTGCACTTGCTGCCACAATAATGTTGTTCCTTCTAATTTACATTACTGGTATATAGCATTATACCCTTGAAATATCTCAATATCGTATCAAATACTACCAGACCCTGGCCAATGTGTAATACATTGATCTGCGATATGTCGAGAGCGTGGTTGATGACGCACCGATCATCGTTTATGTTGATAGGTCAGAGATATAGAACAGACGATCTCGGCAGTTAGTGTTTGGGCGCAATCTATCTTCATATCTGTGTGATATTGCAAGAGTCGCCAAGAGAGATAGTCTCTTTCAGTGGATGTTCTCGTGCTATGGAATAGATACTTCATGTAGGAGAGGTACTCCATACCTAGATCGATCTGGCGATATCGCTTCCAGACGTTGGCTGGGCCCCTCTCACTCAACAATGGTTAGGGAGCTGATTAAGCATGTGAGAGTACCCGTAACTTAGCGTGTTGTTGGCGGCACATCAATGCAAACCAAGGGCCCTCCTTGGCCGACTTACAACAGCAAACTCACTCTGTAACCCATCATCCACGATTTATTCTTGATTTTCAAATTGAGAAGAAGAGAAACAGCACAATGGCTTCAAAGAGAAAGCATTCCACAGAAAGCGATGCGCATGATGATGCAGCGCGCAACAAGCGTTTCGCGTACCTGAAGCCCCAAGTCCGGCAGATTTCCGAGCGGACTATCAAGTCGAAATGGACAACGCTCCCTGGGCCCGTTCAAGACAAGATCCGTGATATGTTTCGAGCGCTTGAACGACCTGTTATCGTGCGGCAGCCGAATGAGCGGAAACGCATCGAAGCGCAGGCGGCTGTGCAGGCAGTAGTTAGGAAGTATGTCCATTATCGAGCATTGGTTCTGTCGCGTGATCATGATTGCAAGACGCATGGTGATTATTGACTGACTTACTCGATTTTCAAGTCTCGGAAAGCGACTTCCTCGAATGCCGTTTCCTCCTGTCACGAAGGAGTCGGTGTTTGACTACGAAGCCGCGCTAAATGAGCATGTATGTGATTTCTGGTGGAATTGTTTGGTGCCATACTGATGTTGAGTCCAGCTATCTCTTGAATCTAGCTTAGCGACTATGACCGATAGTATCGATCTTCTGAAGGCAGAAATTGAGAGGGAAGAGACTCTACTGGCCAAAGAAACAAAGCAACTGCAGGAGATGGAGAAAAACGCGAATCGAGCCGAAGCAGAAAGGAAACGGCAGATGAAGAATGTGAGTTCTTTTGAATGGTTCTTGTCATGGGACATGTCACTCATCCTCTATGAAGGAGCATCCAGCACTACGACAGCTTGATGATATCCCCAAGACCCAGGGCCGAGCGGCTCATTTTGCAATCCTGGAAGCAAAAGACTCACAATCAGGTTATGATGAGGTATGGACCAATCAGGTTGTCCAAATGTTTGACCTTTTTCTGACGTCCAACTCTAGCTGGAGAACGATCCGGAAATCTCAGGCTTGTTGAAACAATTGAACGGCCATCTGAAATCGATGCAGACCAATGTCGCCCCTCTCACTGGCCTGAAGGACGCACTCACCCGATCGGAAGCAGCCCTCAATCTATTCTCCGCACCTGAAGCACCCTGACTGAAGTGCCTTATATTACCACAGTCAAATTGACTCAGTCTATTACCGTCAACCTGGCCTTGAGCTCCTAAAGGAAGCTCTTCCATAGACCAACCTCAACGCCGAATTCGTGGCAAACCCAACTGAACAGGTGTTACTGATGCTTCAAGGCGGCCCAGAACATCCTGCCCACTTATCCACGTTGCAAGAATCAAGCGCGATCTTCGCATCAAATCTGCAATTGTGTAACAGCAGCTTTGGCGCATGAGCTGAAACTGGGGAATCAGGGCCTCACTTTATCAGAAAGAGTCGCAAGTGCGAGTAGCTGCCCATAGCAGGATTCGGATCCGATGAAGTACAATTGAAGGTACTACTTTGTACCTTAGATACTTTCGTCGCCTAACACAGCGCCAAATGGGGTGTAGCCACCTCGGCCCGACCACGTCGAATTGTGACGATCTTCTGTGGTTGCATGGGAATGACCATCCACAGCCTTAGCTTGCCGAGCAGATGGGAGCATACCCCTTACGGACTATGGGATAGATGGTGTTGATTAGAATTGGTTTGCCTGTGTGGATTCCCATGATACCTCATGCCTCGCATAGCCGAACGGAGCATACAACTTGGTTCTACTATATTGTAGTCTTTTTACAATTTCCAAATATGCAAAAATGATAAATATTAGTATATACCAAGTTTGTGTAACACAACGTGATTCAGACCGAGGTAGCCTGTGGCACATGGCCATGCAGCTTTCGTTTGCTGATGGCTGATAATAATAGGTAGATGGACTGCAATAATGGCTCATGCCCGAGGCACCACATCCCGAAAGCAGGAACAGTTCCGCCGCGGTGGTTCCCCAGTGCGGAGGAGCCCGGGAAAAAAGACGGGCAGCCCGCCCGGCCGTCAGTAGTCATCTCGGCGGGGAAATCTGAGCATGAGGCGATCACAATCGCTCGCCGTCGTCGCACACCTCAGCTCGCAGCTAGGCACCTGTTGTCTGCTCCTGCAAATGCGTTTGATTTATCTTCCTCTAAAGTGATCTTCGATGTCTGCAGGTCGCCAGCGGACTTGCTCCTTCGTGTTTCTACCACCAACAGCGACATCAGCGAGCCGAACTTTGCGCAACCGCTTTGCGCCCGGCCAGATCAAAGCGATCGATGACGGAGAACGGCGCCGCGCAGACGGGCACAGTCCCGGATGAACAGCCGCGTAATGGTACAATGGAGAATGTCAAACTGAGTATGGCGGAAGGCGACTCATCCAGAATGGAGTCGGGCTCAAAGAATACTGCCTCACCACCGGTGAAAGCTGACAATAGCGGCGCAGGGACTCACTCCAGCCCCAAGAAGCGTCGCAAAGTTAATCATGGTAAGATACTGTCCTTGTTATGCATTTTGCAGGGATTTTGACAGCGGCCGCTCTCCGCGTTCGCATCTCAGACCACGTTGCTGACCACCATGCCAACGCTTTTGCAGCATGCGTCTACTGTCGACGATCGGTAAGCCCACATCTTACCTACTGGTCCCGTATATCTTTGATCCACCACGTTATCCTGCGTCGCGACTCTCAATCATTGCTATAAGGCCTACTTGGCGAGAATTCATTTGCTAACGGCAGGGTGCTTCCTTATGTGTCACAGCATATGACTTGCGATTCGGTACGACCTTCCTGATCCATTCTCTTCAGCTTGCCTCCGTGAAATGTATCGCAGGATTCTATTTCGCTGAAAGGTTCTGAGCTGACTTTTCTACGTGGATGAAATATAGGAGCGGCCGTGCACGCGGTGTATAAAGCGCAACATAGGCCACCTGTGTCATGACGAACCCAGGGAGCCTTCAAAGCGGGCGCGGAGCGAACACGAGCATTCGACTGCTGAAGAGGAGGGTCATTCGAACAATGAGTTTTCAAATGTTCAAAGCATGACTCGAAACGTTGATGTTCAAGATGCTGCCGGACAGCAAATCCTTCCCGATGGGACTATCGCCCTTCCCCCTTCGTCTGTCAGTGCTGTGCAGCATAACAGCATCCCCTCCTCCTCTGCGCAAAACAGCATAGGCCCCAACTCCCAACAACGTAAGTTCTAAGGCGGCTATCTCTATTTCCTGGCTGGTGCTAATGGTAGTACAGTGCTGGGCTACAACGACTGGCTTGGAGGCCAAAGCCAATTCCAGGATATGCACACCTTCCACCCGTCCTACATGTTCAATGCCCCGGAAGTCACGAACGAATACAACCTCCTGGGAGACTTTCTCAGCAGCAGCCTTCTAGATGACGGGGGGATGTTTCCGAACGATAATCTACAAGGGATATACTCCGATCCAACGTTGATCAATTCAATGGCCAATCTGGATAATACGGCTTTATTGCAGCAAACTCAGCCTCCTCAGCCAACGCAGAGTCAACCACCTCAGAACGATTCGGTTCAAGGTCCAAGCTCCACAGTGGTGAACGATAAGGCAAGAGAGACATATTATATGACTGCGGCGGATCCGTCAGGTTCAGACCCACCAGAAGAGCGGATGAATAAGCTTCTCAAGGCGAAATACGATGCTGGTCTTCTGAAACCTTTCAACTATGTGAAAGGCTACGCTCGCTTGAACCAATATATGGAGAAGAACATGAAGCAGTCATCTCGGCAGAAGATTCTACGGCAGCTGGACAAATTCCGACCTAAATTTAGAGAGAGAATGCAAAGTCTGACCGATATCGAGCTCATTCTCGTGGAGATGTGGTTCGAACGAAGTCTGATGGAATATGACCGTGTCTTTGCCAGCATGGCGATTCCCGCCTGCTGCTGGAGGCGGACGGGGGAGATCTTCCGCGGCAACAAGGAGATGGCAGAACTCATTGGCGTGCCGATAGAGAGTCTGCGAGATGGCAAGCTGGCAATCCACGAGATCATTGTAGAGGATCAGCTCGTGAGCTACTGGGAGAAATTCGGCGCTATTGCATTCGACAACACTCAGAAGGCAATGCTCACAAGCTGCACACTAAAGAATCCGAATTCGAGTAATCCCGGGAATGGGATTCCATGTTGCTTCTCTTTCACAATTCGGAGGGACAATCATAATATGTGAGTGCTCAAGAACATTCGTTGCAAGCCTGAGAATTTGCTGACAGTACACCTAGTCCCTCACTCATCATTGGCAACTTCTTACCGTCACAACGCAGAAGCAAATGATTGTTATCTGGAATTGAAAATTGGTCTATCTATGGGCGTACTCCGGGGGATTAGGCTTTGTTGTTCGAACTATTCGGGTACATAGTTCTCACGCTTGTCCTCTTTCTTATTCTCTAATCTTATGGCTCTAGGGCCTGTCCATATGAGTGCTACTAGAGAACTTTGTTCGATATCCTTTCTGTGATGTTTGCACGGTTATCAAGAAAACATGATTTTACATGACTCCAAAGCTCTTCGAAGAACTGAATTGTATTGATCGAGTGTCAGAGTGTTTATATATCCCATGCTGTCATGTCCATGTGTCTTGACCTTCGTCTCTGGACTAGTTCGGTCAGGTGAACGCCAGTTCCTAGGAAGACGATAATACCATCCAGCAACTGCGGTCTTGCCAGTAGATTTCTACTCCATATATACTGCCAGGTTCTCGGTAGAAGCGCTGCTTTTCTTCACCAAAGTAGCACAGTCAAAGTTCCAGCCGTACAACTACAGTGGCACCCGTTGAACAATGTCATCCAAGAATCCTGAAGAACATGCACCCAGTGTCCTAGGTAAGACCGCAGTATAAACTACCTTCATCCTCTCTCCATCCATGATCTCTAATTATTCTTCGTCCACCAGGCCTCGCTAGGCAAATACAAACTTGGTTCTCCAACGCAAGCACCTCTGAACAATCCCAGATACCGGAAACTTTGGTCAAACTTCTTGACAACTGTCTCGGCGATATACCCTTGTTCACAGCGGCTCTCTCATCAACCATCCGTCAGCAAATGGGTTCTGAAGGAACGAAGCTATGGAATACATGCACGCAACTCATGGCAATATCTGCGGACACTTGCGAGCTGAGGTTACTGAGTAAAGGTTTGACGTCATCAGAATTTGCTTCTTCTACAAATTCTGATCATTGCAGTGAAAACTCTTGCTTTTGCAATGCTGGACTGTGCTACGTCTGCCCACATTCAAGGTATTAGTCCATCTAGGCGATAGTATGACTGTTTCTGAAGTCCTTTTCCAGGAAACAGCCGAAGCTTCGAGCTTGCGTTGACAGCAGCACGTACTTGTATGGGTGAGTCTCATCTACCGTTTGCTAAGTTCCAAGACTAATGATGATATCCGATGCAGATCAGGGACACTTGGATCTGAGCCAGAAGATCATCGGTGTAGCTGCTACTCGCTTGAACGATATGTCTAAAAACCAGAGCGACCACTACAGAGCAAAAGAAGAAGCCTACATGACGGAATACTACATGCTGCGTGTCTACTTGGTAATGAGCTTTTTACTCATGATATTTGCATAGCTGACTTTGATGACATAGTCCTGGCTGCAAGGAAGACCTGATATTGCAGAGCATTTATTCTCCAAGGTCCCGCAAGCGAGCCGAGGCGGACATCAAGAGACAATTATGGATATCTGCTATCAAGTTGGGGCACAGGCAATCTCACGTCCGCGGCCTGATGTGGCAGCTCGATGGCTTGAAAGAGCTTTGAACTCAAGCGAGCTTCTTCAGGTGGAAACCCAACAAGCAAACCTGGGTCTGAAGGATAAGAAGCTCCGGGTTTTGGTCGCTTTCGGTAAGTCACCATGAGCCTACGGCTTCTTTTAGTGAGCTGATATCTTGCAGCCTGGGCCGGTCTTCATCTTGATACAGTAGACGCAAAGCATGGCCTTGACAGAGCAGTAATGTGCTTTAAAAGTGTAAGGTTCCCAAGACCGTTCAGCATTGAAGAAAATTGTATTGCACTGTTGCTGACAATTTGCAGGAATACGATGATGCTTTTGAAGCTCAAGTTCTTCAACTCGAGATTCTCAGCAAGGAGAACATTGCCGACTACGATGAATATGCTGAAAGTAAGAACACGACCCTATCCTGAACGTGTGCCACCACTTATCCAGTCTTTCAGTCCTCCGACGCGCCATTGCCGTTCTGGAGCTCAACGATGCTGATCTTAAGACGTACGTTACTTTCCATAATCAGGCATACTCATTGTCTAAGGAGAAACAGTATTCTATACTTCGTCCATAAGCTCAAGGGATTCAGGTAGGCTTCCACGTAATCGTTCTTTGACATAGTGGTACTGACAAGGAAGGCCCCTGCTGTTCCTAGAAATAATTAAGCAGCTGTTGCATGACAAGCTTGCTGTCTCAGACAAAAGGACTTGGACAGAGCGTGTGTTCATTAGCCTTGTTTGGGCATTGACCGAATCTTATCCTTGTGCTGTCGACTGCATCGCCGTCATGAAAGCTGTGACTCAAAGTCTCCTGGAGGTTGGATGCCAATCTCTGAGCGAAGGGACAACCAATGCTTGTTTGACTGTGAATCCATGTACAACCGGTATATGCATTTAATTGCTGACTGTTGACGCAGCTGGTCTGGAAGCATATTGATGTAGCGATATCTAAGCGAAACATATCACACGCAGAGCAATGCTGTGAATTTCTGCTCGAACAGCCCCTATTTCAAATATCCTCGGACAGTAAAGGTAAAATTCTAAGGTAGGCATCCGCGAGGCAGGGGAACGTTCTGCAGAGAGATTACTCAACGTGGTCTTAACAGGAAGCTGATTACCTGCTCCCGAGATGATTCAAACACGCTTGAGGCGCTTAAAACTATTGTTGGACACCTCGAAGAATGCAAAGCCTCAGCATCTACGCTGTATATGCTGTATGGAGTAGCTATACGACATGCCGACTATACTCTTGGTATGTCTATGGAGTTATAGATCTATACTGTTAAATCTCTAACCGAACTCCAGGGCAAACATGTCTTAAGTCCTTGAGTGAGCTAGGGCAAGAGGGAAAGATATGTCTCTCTTCATGCGCTGCAGAGGCTCGTCGTTCGGGAAATATCCGATTTACGATCGAATGTCTTCAGCAGCTTATAGCAGGCATGGACGACCATTCCCTTGGAGAAGTACCAGTCTCAACACTGTTCCAGTATGTATCACCCATCTCTGGCAAATGGTTACTGAGCTAATTCGTTGCATAATCTTGCTTTCTCAACTCTTGGAGTCAGACGACCGCGACAATGCGGCTTCAATATCCCATCTCATATTCACATTTGAGGAAGGTGAGCATCAACGCAATCCATAGGACGTCGAATACTAAGCCGAAATAGCTTTAAACGAAGGGAGGTCGCCCTTCTACTCAGCCACTGAACTAGAATGGTTTGCGAGGAAAAGCTACAAAGTAGCCCTTGACATACATAGGAGTTCTCCCTCGGAGCCTGTCCTACATCTCTTAGACATATCCCTCAAGGTAACCTCACCATGGAGAACGATGAAACGTCCTCTAATAACGACGTAGTTCACAGACCTATACCATAAAAAGATCGGAACCAAAGACCGAGCCTTCATGTATCTCCTCGCCGAGTACATCAAATCCAACAAATTGATAGTCGAGGCCCGTGATCATACTCCCTCATCAGCGAAGGTCGTTATTTTAACCCATCTGTTTGAGACACACCGGATTGACAACAACAGGTCTACAAGCAAATCCGCCAATCCGTCCAGCGCTTCGAAACCTACCTTCAAGGTCATCTTGATACATACAGCACCACACCCGAAGGGGAGGCATGGATGCATAAACACCGTCTCCTGCTCGCCTTGGACTTCGAAGCAGCGATCAATCTCAAACAATGGGACAACGTCCCGAGCATAATCGAGAGAGCCAGCAATATGCTCGACGACCAGCTCTGCTCAGTATTCCTAGACTGCATCCTCTGCTCTGGGGCGCCAGCTCCCAACATCGCACAGGTCGTCAAGGTACTCCCCCACAAACCGTCAAAGCAACCTCGTCCGGTGTCAAGTAAATCTGACAAAGGCACAGGACATAATCTGCATCTTCCACTCCTCGCCGTCTCCATCCTTCAGCGCTGGGGTCTTCCACCAGAAACTCCCCCGGTATCTACGGTGCCTGTTTCAAATAGCCCTAGAGGCGGCAGACTACTCGTTGGCAGAGTCAGTCCTCCACCAAGCTATCGCTCTAGCTCAGGATGGCTCAGCGGACACAGACTTGCCGTTTGTGTATCCGAGCGATGAGCTCAAATGGCTCTCAACCATGGCTTTTAATAGAGCGGTCGATTTATATATTGCCTCGGCTGATGAGGAGTGTCGAGAATGGGGAGAGATTGCGTTCACACTGGCTGATTTGATTAAGGATGATGGCGGTGCGCTGCTGAGAATGCTGCGGCAAAACTACGCCAAACTTATGTGAGTTATGGTTCGATGTTTACTCGCTTATATATTACGCTACGGGAGTAGTCACAATTCGATTATATACTTAGGCTCGAAGAGGTCCAAAGAAAGCCTGGACCATAGGCCCGGTTAGGAAATTCTTCGTTGTAAATTGCTTCCAGAGTCTGTCTGATTCGCCACTATCCATAAATAAGATGCAAAAGATTGTGATAAATCCAACCTCAAACTCCATCGATCTTTTGCCGTAGCTAACGGCAAGACCGAAAATGAACCACAGCATGCAATGGGCAGAAAGGGTGATATGCCATGTTGAACAAAAACTATGCGATTGACCCAGAATAGGACCGCTGGCGAAGGTGAAAGAAATAAGAGAACGGATGAATGCATGAGAAATGCAAGACACTGGAACCAACGAATCCGCTATTCGCTCGAATTTTCACCATTATCATTAGAACATACAATTCTCGAGCGGTTATAAGTGCCGTTTTGGCGCAAACTTGGAGCCGAGTGCATTCGATGTGGACTTTGTAAGGAATTTTGTTTTCTGTCATTTTCCTTTCCGCTGCTGTCGGTCTCGGTCTCAGCATTTCCACAGCCTTGAGATCGAGCAGCCAGGACCCGAAGTGTTAGGTCCAGTTCGCGCTCCAGTTCCTTCTGGGAGTGGAGATGCTCTGTGGAGGTATTCAATTTTTTCCGGTAAGCCTTCAATGTGCGGCAAACCTGCTCCGTAGATGAATTTAGACTTCCAGATTCGCTCTTGGACAAGTTTCTGGCACGGGAGCGGAAGTCCAGTGATATGCGACGAGCGCGATTGTTTGTGTTGCTGAGCTTTTTACCAGGTGTGGATCTTCTGGTTGGGGACGGAGACTTGCGCAACTTCTGAAGGCGAGAGTGCGAAGGGGGAGAGCGGCGGTCAGACCTTGAGAAAGGAGAAGGCGTAGTCGGTGCTGATTTTTCATTCTTCAAGGAAGAGGGCGTGAGGGAGATTTTAGAAAATTTGCGAGCCAGTGACTGTGAGGAGTCCCGCACAGGAGTTGGGGTACCTGTGATGTTGCCTTGCCGCTGGAATCCAGCGAGCTCGTGTTTGGATAGAATCTTGCGCAGAGGCGGCTTGGATACCGTCGATTTTTTCGACACACTGTCGACTTCTTCCTCTGATAGATTGGTTTGGGTATAATCCTGAGATTGCTGTGGTTGCACCTGTAAATCCCATATCATGACGACACCGTCAATCCCAGCGCTAACCAGAGTCCTACTAGGAGGATTCCGACTGCAGTCAGAATCTCTGGTCAGCAAGCATACATCGCTCACGCCTTCGGCATGGCCGAACTCGGCAGTAAGAAGCGCTTCGCGTTCCATATCGTACACGCGAATTGATTTGTCCGTGCTTGCGACTCCCATAAGCAACGTGGGACATTTGCCTGGAATGTGGGAAGCCATGCTCAGGGCAGTCATGACTACTGTGTCGCTTGAATCCGAATCGGTGGCTCGGAAAGAGCGAATGTGCTTCCCTGAATCAAGATCGTACTGTTGTATACAACGATCAACGGTGGATATGATGAGAGTATTTGGGTCTTCTCTAGATAGAGTCATGGAAACTGGAGATGCCTTAAGCGTGACAGCCCTGGATGCCAGATACGCAACAGCTGTTTCTCCGCTGGTTTCTCGAGTCATGCGTTCTCGAATAAACACGGTGCGATCTGAGGAGCACGAGAGAAGCTTCTCGCCGTTCTTGATGAAGAGTAGCTGATTTACTGACCCGACGTGATCATCCATGGTCTGCACAAGCTCCAGGCTTTCTTCAGTGCTACGGAAAAGCTGAACCATGCGATCTCGACCAGAACTGGCAATGAGACAGGAGTCGGAGTCCACGTGAAGGGCCACATCAGTGACCTCTGCCTCGTGAGCCCGAATCTGATTGACACACTTCCATGGCTGTCCCGAAAGGACCCTAAGCTCAGGTCAATGTTTCTCTTCCTTATGCTTTCTGTTTCAATGGAAGGAGTGGTTAAATACCTCAAAACACCCATCTTATCTCCCGACACGAACAACTTCAAATCTTGAGTCGCCCTCAAAATTTTCAACTCGTTTGTTTGAATTTCATCACTACCCAAAGGCTGCTCTATCGTGACTGTCCTAGAGTCCTTACACCTGCCCTTTGTATCCCAAAACTTCACGGTCCCGTTGGACGACCACGTGAAAAAGTTGGCTTGGAGTTCGTTGACGTCTGGTAACGGAGAAATGCCGAGGACCGCATCTCTATGAGCGGCAATCGCAAGCGGTCTCTCGCAACCATCACTTATTGACTCTAACCGATGGATCTGGATTTCTTTGCTGGAATTAACAGTCACTAGATGTGATCCGAGGGATCCCATACAAGTGATCGCAGGTCCCTTGGTCTTCTTACTCGCTGAGGCTCGACCAGAGGGCTCTGGCGAGATTGGGCTCGACGGCCGAAGTGACTCCAATGAGAACTTTTGCATCCTCTTTTCCCGACCACCGACCCAGAGGTAACCATGATCTGGATCAATGGTCAAAGAGGAGATGCCGAACCCCACGTACTTGATCAGGGATAGTCTTGGAGATACCTCGCTATCGTCCAGGAGGCAGAGAGCACCGTCTTCGGTGCCTACTACAGCTTCACGGTCTGATATGCCTGCGACACAGGTGAATACGCAAGTTCCGAAAGACCCGAGGAGACAGTTTCGTCCCGAAAGGGCTTTCGGGGCCACGCTGGGGGAGCTAATGGCCGGATCCGCATTCAGGCGGGACTTCGATGGCGATACAGGTCTTGTTTCCGGGAGGCGCCATACCTTCACATGCCGAACTCCGACGCTGCCGCCTTAGTTAGTCTTGCTACCGGTAACGAGCACGGATTGAGTCCAATAACATACGTGACAAGACTCTGTCCTGTCCAGCCCATGTGGCGAACAATGTTGATGCACTTATTTGTCGAATGTAGCCTGGCAGATCCGGTCTTCAGACTTACAGCCCACACGAAGAGAAAACCGTCATTCACCTCTCCGAGGGTGGCGAGGTACTGGGAGTTAGGACTGAAGGAGACGCTGCGAACGCCGACGGTGTGCTCGGTGAGAATTGACAGGGGAACCTCCGGAGATGCGTCTTTCGCCGTAGAGAAGATCAAGACTCGAGGGTTATATCCAGTCTGTTTTCAGATTAGCTGACTACCCACGCTCTTCACTTGTGTACAGAGAATGCCACCCACCTCTCCTACAGCAAGAAATCTTCCATTCGGGCTGAGTGACACACTTGTAACCGCCTTTATCCTTTCCCTCGACGACCAGGATCGCGGGCTGTTAGTCTCGGCCAGGTCACTGGACGGAGATCCATTGTGGGTGTTGCTGTGCGCATTTGCTCTGATGTTGGATATCGACTTTGCTCTAGTATCGGGCGTCGATGGAGGCGTGGATTGGTTGTAGAAAGACGTAACGGGATTGATGCTGCTCGCAGAGGGTCGTGCTTTGAAAAAGCGCTGGTTTACATTGTTTTCATCGTCCAGCTCTGCCAGGATGGCCGCCGAACCGGCGCATAGCGCAAACGATCTGCTTTGGTCGTGGCTTGAGAAGCCGTTTGGGTCCGTCGTAGTCGTGCCGATAACAGTCCGGAGGGAAAGGATGGATTGGTGCAAGGAGGTCTTGTTAGGAGACCGTGGAGCTCTCAGACCAGGCGAATTAGAAGGTGTGATGCGTAGGGAAGAACCCGGCCCAGCATTCTTGCTTTTGACTGTCAATGAACCACTCGCCATCCCATTTAAAAGCCGAATTCAGGCTGCGAATATTCACGTTCCCCCAAGGGTGTCTGGCCCGGTTTGCATTTGTCGTGACGCCGGGATCACCTGTCAAAGCTAATCGGTACTGTCAACGGAACCATCCAGTAGATACAACCTTATCAGTCCTGCTCGTAAGCGAAATTCCGATAACGATCGAGTAAAGCGATAGTTTGCTGAGGGTCAAATTGTGTTAGAATGGGATATAGCAAAAGAGGTGTCTTGCGATCACCACAGTTTTGAGTTCAGCTGAAGGAAGAGTGGTGGAAAAGTATGAACGAGAGTGATCGGTAAGGTCGAGAAAGGAGCGTGGGCCTGGAGAGAGCAAAACAAATCACAATGCGCATTCAAAGGAGTGACACAGACAATGAGAGAAGTATGAGAAGGAAAATGGAAAGGTTTAGTGATAGGGAAAAAGCAGGAGGAAATACACCCGTCCACACAGTGCACACACACACTGTCAAGGAGGGGAGCTCCAGCTCGAGTTCATTAGCAGCACATTCCAGTGATCCCTCCAGCAGAGAATGGATGGGCGAATGGGAATGTGGGTATGACACGGTGACAAGCAGTTCCCCAAGCCCTGACATTGGAAGACTGACATCTCATATGATCATTGAACTTTCAGTCCTGAAGCTGATTCCTTCGGGCATCTTAGTTTGTCGTCTAATCCTGAAAGTAGACTAGGTTGGTTCTAAAGCTCTATAGGTTCGTAGATTGGCGCGGGAACCATCAAGATAGCTGCGGTGATCTACACTAAACTAATCTGAGCTGTGGAAATGAGCTCTCCTTACTTGACTTCGTTGTCAATGAGAGTTGATCGAGACTCTAGTCTAGGGATCAGGAGGATTACAGAATTATCGGAATCCATGTACAATCTAGTTATCCTCTATCACATACATTACCCACAGGCATAAAAGTCGATTTTCCAGGGGTCCGGATAATGCTGCCATCAAGACAAGGTTAGCCTAAGGCTTCCAGGGTTCCAAGCTCAAAACAGTTCCAAGCCTGCCTTAGGTATCTACTGCCTTGACCCTGCCCCTATGCATTTGACAGCAATCAAAGCATTGAGCTTCACACAAAAATAGTTAACAATCATAGTGTATATACAAGGATTGCTCTAGTGGTTATTATCATGTTTTACTCCTCATTTTCTAATGCCTTAGTGCTGGCCTGCATGAGACTCCACTGTCTATTCTGTGTAGGCATACACGCGCGGGACAGTCACATGATAT